AAACTTAAGATTTTTAAGAAGGCTTACAGTCGAAAATATGTTTGAGGAGAGTTGCCACCTGTTTGAAAATTTAACTCAATTAAATTGGAAAAGAAATGAATTGTTACAATATGGGTACCAAACTAAAGAAATCTTGGTTTAGAAATATTTTCAATAGGATTATGCCCTATCTAAAAGCAAAGGCTGCAAATATTGGAACTAAAAGAAATATTACATAATTGGTTCCAAACGAAAATTGTTAGGGAAAGCTTTACCAGAGATTTTTTTGTTTATGTTTCCACTTAGCCAAAAGCCGATCAGTTTAAATGAAGAAAGAATTTACAAAATCTTATCGAACGAAATGATCGTATTATCAGCGAAGAGTTGGTATACAAATTTCGAAATAAAAACAAAAAGCTAATAAAAAACGACTGATACAAATGAAAAAATAATAAACACCATACCTAATGAAAACATAAAAATATCCCATGAAAGATGCTTAAAAAATCCTTATTGAAAACTTAAAAGTGTTGTCACCATTCCTTAACATTATAAAACAGGTAACAATTAATGATAAAAAATTTCACTTGGGGTCGCCATAGCCTACTACGTTCTATATTACGAGTAAAGAGAATGTGCCTGCTTTAGCGTTCAGTTTTTCGGACTTTCAAATATATAATAATCTATCTTAGTGAACTACCTAACAATACCCATATTTTCCAGAATGTTTTTTGCTAAATTAGATGAGCTGCTTCGGGTTTTTAGACAATTTTTTCCAAAAATCGGCGAGAGCAATTTGAATAACGTTGGATAATATTATGAAGATTATGATTATTATTATTATTCTGATCTCCTTTTATATGCCCAATCAAACATTCACAAATTAAAGCGTGAGCAAGAGGGCATTTATGATCGCATATTGCAAATGTTAAAATAATATGAGCTATAAATAGAACTGAACCACATCATCGGCAACAAAAACCTCGAAGTCTGTCCTGCCTTTTTCAAGTTGGATAACGAAGCAAAGCGATTGGGTTTGGTGATCAACGAGGACAAGACGAAGTATTTCCTGTCATCAAACGAGGAGTCAGAGCAATCACGCCTTGGCACCCATGTCACTGTTGCCAGTTGTAGTTTCGAGAAAGTAGACAGTTTCGTTTAGTTAGGAACCAGCATAACACCGATAATAATGTCGGCATCGAAATCTAATGCCGATTTACTGTAGCTAACAAGTGCTACTTTGGACTGAGTAGGCAATCCGGAAGTAAAGTTCTCTCTCGACGTACGAAAACCACACTCTATAAGTCACTCATTATACCCATGCTGGTATATGGCGCAAAAGAATGGACAATGACAACATCCGGCGATCTTGGAGTATTCGAGAGAAAGATGTTTCGGAAGAGTTACAGGCCCCTACGCGTTGGCGACGATGAGTACCACAGACAGTGGAACGATGATCTGTATATCGTCGTTTAAAGTATAAAACTGCGTATCGTCATTCTGCAAAACCGCGTAACTGGCATTAGCTGCCAAAAATGGGATTTGCTCACACAAGCTCTTGGCTCAATCCTTATCCATTCGTCCTGAAGTATACTGGCCAGATATGCGATTGCTTTATAAAAAAGAGTACCATTTTGAAATATGAGTATTTTTACTCTCTAGAAGATAATTTACATTATTCACATACGCGATTTTGCATTATCTTGATACGCGGATTTGCATTTTGTTGATACGTGGTTTTGTACTTTAAACGATAAGCTTTACAGCGGCTCCGCTGGCTTCGCCATGTCGTTCGAATGGGAACCGCGTTCGAGGCCTAAAAGCATTCGACTCGCAATCCGCTGGTAGTAGCAGAGGAATGGAAAGACTAAGTGGAGAAGGACTAGGCTTCACGTGGCATTTTCAATTGGCGTAAGTTGGCACGGCGAGAAGCGACTGACGTGCTTTTTCGAACGCTTATGCGGTTACAGCGCCAAATAAGAAGATGCAAATGATAAGTGACCTTCTCCTTGGATGCGACAGGAGGAAATACGAGAACACTCCTTATAAGATTGTGGCAGCGGTTCGAAAATTACATAGCCGTATCTCTCGCTTCATCTGGAACATCTGCGACATTGTTACCAGGTGGAAACACCTATCATTTAGCTCTTATGCTGCCATTGAACGTACCAGTCATCGAAACTCCCACGTGAACATTCGGTATGGGAAAAGTACTTATTACAAAAATGTAAACTCATTGTTTGGGATGAGTGCACGATGGCACATAAAAAAATCTCTTGAGGTTCTTGATCGATCGGTGGGAGATTTGCGTAGAAATGTTCAACCATTTGTGAATGCATTGATATTGCTCGCAGGAGATTTTACGTTAACATTGTCTGTAGTTTCTCGATTGACACTAGCGGGCGACATAAATGCTTGCCTGAAATATTCAACATTGAGGCAAGACGACATACATACGTTGCAGTTGACTACGAATATGCGTGTCCAACTACAGAGCGATTCATCAGCCTCTCGCGACAATTACTGAACATAGGGAAGGGAAAGTTGACAGTCAATGAGAGATTAGGTCGAATTTTATTGCGTAATAATTTTTGTAACTTAGAAACATCGAAAGGAGAACTGAACGAAAGAATGTTTCCGGATATTCAAATTAATTATAGGAATCACGATTGGCTCAGTGAACGAGCTATTCTTGCCGCAAAGAATAAGGATGTCTATTTTTGAACTCGATTGATCTTCCAGGGATTACCCAACATACTGAAATTATAAATAGGTTATCGTGTTGCGGAATATTAATCAGCCAAAAGTCTGTAACGGCACGGCACGCAGTAAAGAAATTGATTATGAAAGTAGTGTAAGCAAAGATTTTTAAGTGGACTTTCAAAGGAGATGAATTCCCATGATTCCGGCCGATACACAGTTTCGATTTAAAATATGCAAATTTCCAATTCGATTGGCATTCGGAATCACAATCGATAACGTACCAAGGTTATTAAGTGCGCCGAGTTTGGTAGAAATTGATAAATCTGTTACCGAGATACACGTTTGTGGTTGAAAGGGGGCGGCGCCACGCCCACTATTCAAAAATTCATAATAATCAAATTTTCTTCTAAGTGGTTATTGCAATCATCGATTTTAAGTGAATTAGCTTTAATAATTACTGATTTGTCGCAGTTTTCGTGTTTCTGTAAATTACTGTTATGTGGTAGGTGGAAGTGGTCATTGCCCGATTTCGAAGATTTTCAATAGATTTATTAGCTAAACCCTAATCAAGGCTCGTACCAAAATTCTACTTCGCATATTAATTTTCAACAATTTTCATCCGATATTTACTGGAATAACGCAGTTCTTGCATTTTTCGAAAATACCGTTATATGGAAAATTGGCGTGGTCACCGTCCAATTTCGCCCGTTTTCAATTCCAACCTACCTTGCATAAAGGAAAACCTACATACCAAATTTCGTTGAGATATCTAAATTTTTGCTGGAGCTATCGTGTACACGGGCGCACGGACGGGAGACGGACAGACGGACGGGAGACGGACAAACGGACGGACAACAGATATAGCTTAATCGAATTCTCTATTCATTCTGATAATTTATGTATACATTTGTCTATATCTATCTCGATTGTTTTGGCTGTCACAAACAACCGTTACATGAAGAAAGTTATAATACGCTTGGGCACAAGTGCGCTCGAATATAAAAAAGAACCAACTTCAAAAAAATATAACACAAGTGAACTAAAAATCAAATAAATAATATAAATAAAACTTTTTAATATACAACGCTTTTATAAATGGACTAAAAAGTAGA